TCTCTGTGTCTCTCTCTCTCTCTCTCTGAGACAGAGAATTGTGTATGTACTTTTGTACTCAGTATCATTTAAGCAAGGCGTCACAACTGTACTTAGAATGATCTGGAGTTACACAACCAACCAGCTTTTTCATCAAGTATAAAAACTTGTTCACTTGATTATTAAAGATACCATTAATATTCATTTATTCATCAGCCATAAGTCATTCCCCTATTCAACGTAGTACTGTACACACATGATGCAATTATTCATAAATACATACAATATTTACAAAATATAAATGTTATATCCAAATTTAATCAACTTCATCTACAGCAGAATGTATTTTTTGATGACCACGTCTGCACTGATAGGGTCAACATGTCATCCAATAAAAACATGTTTAACATGTATCCCCTCATATACATGTCACAACACACAGCTAGCTACCTATTGTGTTGCATCCCTGTTCAATATCACTCTGTGTCCATTTCAAAACTTTTTCCTAATGCTCGAGCTGAGGCTTGATCAGTGGAGCTTCAAGAACCCACAGTAGCACAATAAAGGACAGCTGAGTGGTGTGATATGTGATGCCGCGAAGGTGATATGGCACAGTCAAAGAATCGCGAAAACACTTCCTACTAGGATACACTGATGTATCCTAAAAGGAATACATCCTATCCTCCGATTAAGCTTCTTGTCGAGCAGCTTATGCAATTCAAAAATTGGATGCGGGTACAATGGAGATCAAGGAAAACATCTGGAGATTTAGCAGGAAGTGCGAGGTGAATCACTATAGACAGACTCTCAGAAACTTTTGCAATTTGTTCTTCCTGAGGGTCTCAACTACGTCCTGGGTCGCCAGGAAGCGGTTTTCATTCTCAGTCTCGTCTACCTCGCCCGCCCCTCCTAGAGGCAGGCATTAGTTGGCAATCTGGACACGAAGTCCACTGGCCCCGAGTATCCCCTAATCCCCCTATAGAGAGCGAGAGAGAGAGAGAGAGAGAGAGGGAGAGAGAGAGAGAGAGTGAAAGAAAGGGAGAGGAGAGAGAGATGGAAGAGAAAGGAGCCTTTGTGTGTGGAGACAGTGGGGTAAAGAGGAGAGTGTACAGTACTAAATTGAGGTCGACGCCAGACAATGACTGCCCTTCAGCGGCTGGGTCACACAGAATCTCAGCCTGGCTCCATCAAACCTCTCTTTCTTTTCTTCTCGCCCTTCCTCTGTTCTCTCTCTCGCTTCTTCTTTTCTCCCTTTCTCTTACCCTCCAGACCTTTTTTTCTCCTCGTGACATCACTGAGGACAGGGGGAGGAGGGGAATCCCCGTTCCGTTGTCCAGGGGGCTGTTCCCTCTATCTTCACCTCCCTCCGCCTTTTCTATCCATCCCTCCTTTCTTCATCTCCCTCCGCATTCCTATCCATTGTTTCCATCCATTCACCACCATCAGTAAGTCAGTAAGTAATTCAGTAACTAATTGAGTAATTGATTCATTAAGCAATTAAGCAAGTAACAAAGTAAGCAAGTAAAAAACTAAGTACATAATAAACTAAGAAACTAAGTAACTATATTTATAAAGGATTCTCTCTCTCTCTCTCTATCTCTCTCTCTCTCTGACTAAAAAGTGTGTGTATTTCAGTCAAGTTGAGAAGATCATGCCTCATATTCAGAATTTACAAAACAGTGAACAATAACACATTTACATTTGGATTAGATAATTGTCTTCCTCTATTTGAATCGCGGGCCCCGAGCCTACCTAGTGTCTACCGAGTCTACCAGCCTATTATCTTAATCTCATTTCAGACATTGATAATCACTCATTTTGCAATTAAACACGTTTACCCAAAGCGTCTTACAAGCAAGACTGAGAATAACCAAATCAATATTGGAGCAGCTCTGAATATCATCTGTTGGAATCTGTCCAAACCTTGCACCTGAAAAAGTAAAAAGTCCCAATGTGTTTGGCTGATGTTCGGGCTGCAACGATAAGTTCACTAATCCATTAGTCCTATCATCCATTAGTCGATCGACAGATAATTCATCAAATAACATTTTTATAATTGATTAATCGTTTAGGTCACTTATCAAGTGCAAATACCAAACATCTGCTGCTTGATGCGTCAGAAATTCACATTTTCATGGATCATAAAATGAATACTTTACTTTTTCTTGGCTGCTTGTCAGATAAAGCAAGCACATTTAAGACATCACTTTGGACTCTGGTAACTTGTGATGGCAGTTGCTATTATTTATGACATTTTCTAGACTGAATGATTCATCGATTAATGGAAAAATTATCATTAGATTAATCGACTATGAAAATGATCATTAGTTGCAGCCCTAGCCGATGTGATTCCCCCACACCATACCACATGTCGGCTGTGAAAATAGAAAAATGCAATAAACATGAAGAAGAAGAGCCCTGCAGGCCGCTCTCACCCGCATGAATGTATGTATCACATAGGGGCCACAAACCGGGGGCCCCTATCTGCTGCTCTTAATGCGACAAACCATAGCGATCACGAGCTGAGAATCGATCCATTTCAGACTTGTTCACACTGGATTCTTGATCCTTTAACTGTTGCAGGGAGAGAAGACCCCTCTCCCTGTGTCTCCCTGTGGGTGGGGGGGGGGACAGAGATGGGCATTATCTCAGAGTATAGTAGTCCCCTGGTTGGTATTAGATGTGGAGGGGCCCTCGATGGGCCCCGGGGCCAAGGGTGTGATCTCTGTAGGTGGCCTGGACATTAGGGCGGGGTGGGGGTGGGGGGGCTTTGTCCTCAGGGCTGGTTCTTCTGTTAGAGCTATAGCTTCTCTCTCTCTCTACATCTATCTCTATTTATCTCTATGGATATGGATATTTGTATATATTAGTATGTATGTATTATTAAGGACATATACTATATGAAGGAACACACACACTTATTGATGAAAGTTGGATGGACAGAAAGACAGACAGAACTAAATGCGAGTGTAGATTAAACAGTGATGTTGACCCTGCGGCCCGGCGCACAACACACACACTGTAATTAACTGTGTGTGTGTGTGTGTGTGTGTGTGTGTGTGTGTGTGTGTGTGTGTGTGTGTGTCTGTGCATGTGTGCTATACACCTGTCAAAATGGACACATTTCATTAATGACATGTTCCACACTATGAATACTAAATGAATGATGCTACCAACACATGATGTGCATGTGTGTATGTGATGTTGTTTGTTAGGTCAAGTGCAGGTATCTCCAAGACCTGCCACACTCCATTTCCTAAAACACACACACACACACACACACACACACAAACACACACACCTGAGACCGTGTCAGTAATTACCTCTGGGCCACGGCTGGGGAGGGGGGGACTATAGTGAAGGAAAGGTGGGATTGATGCGCACTCAGCGACCTCTCTGATTGGGGTTAACAGCAGCCTCATTTGCATAAAGGGGATGGGAGGGGTTTCATTAGCAAGGCCTCAGGTGCAGAATACACACACACTGCACACACACACACAGTCACAGATACGCACATAACACAGGGACGCGGTCACCAGAACACACACAATGTGTGCAACACTGGCTAACTCATCTTTTGTTTTTGTAATTATCAAATGGCCAGTAAACAACGGGACACTGACCAAACTTCATATTTTTTACCACACCTTCTTACTTCCCATCATGCTTTGCTCAAATCTCATTACAATGCATTGTGAATGGCGTGCATTGCCTCTTGTACTGTTTGCCAAGTGTGTGTGTATGGTGTGTGTGTGTGTGTGTGTCTGTGTGTGCGAGAAAGGGCCCTAGCAAGGAGGCTGATACAGGAAGGACGGAATTGCATATTATGTATATATATATATATATATAACATATTTCCAGACAGTATAGAAACACAACACAGACATGGGCATCCATTGTTATCGGTTGGTTTACTGGAATATTAAATAAGCAAAGACGGAAGGCATTTTAAAGGTACAATGTGTAGAATTAAGTGGCATCTCTTGGCAGAAATAGAATATAATATTCATAAGTATGCTTTAATTAGTAATAGCAGTTTATGTAGTTTGAAAGTGTTTGTTTTTTTAAGTTAAAGATATTGGATATTCAACAGATATACATGCTCTAAGCTAGCGATGTGACACGATCACCGGTATCCTGTGTGTCTAGCGGTGTCTACCTGCCCAGGAGACAGGGCTTTCAAGTGTAACCGTCGGGCAGCAGCTCTCGTCTATAGAGCCATCGTTTGGTCAATATTTCTACACAATAGGTAAATTACCCTGCTCTAAACAACAGACTAAAGCAATTAAACCGGATACGTTCAGATGGCTGTTTAGAAGTGTAACCCGTTAGCTCTACAGCAGTACATTGTAGTGTATCAACCTTCTAAACTGAATGTGACATTTATAGCAGCATAGCACTACTGGGGTGGTGGATTAAAATAATCACACATCTCTAAAGCAGTTTATGGCATCTGAAAGTGTTTGTTTTTTTTAAGTAAAAAAGATAATGGATATTCAACAGATATCCACGCTCCAAATAACACTGATCTGACACCGGGAACTATAGACAAGATCACAGCTATGAGTAATTGCGTATTTAAACCGATACGTCTCACGCTACAAAATGTTCAGAATGGATATAACTAATAATTAAAATGGCTGTTTAGAAGTGTAACCTGCTAGCTCTACAACAGGAAAAAGCAGGTAAACTGTGTGGCCAGTGGAGCTCCAGTGTGAATGTAACACGTATACTGTATACAGGTGACTTTCCATATCTGTACACTGGTGAAACTATCAAAAAAACTAAACAAGTACAGGAGTACTCGTTCGATTTGGACCATGTATTCAATGACAGTTTTAGGGTATTTATTGCACCCCTAGCCCCTACTGGCACCCTACTGGCCAGTACAGGCTACCGTAGCTTCTCCTACGTCGTTGGAAAGGGAGAGGTGGAGAGGTCAGGGGGGGTATTCAGTTTGTTGTAATCTGATGCCACTAAATTTTACACATTGTACCTTTAAGTTTTAACATTAAGCACAAGGTCCTGTCTAGCTCAACTGAGAGCATGGCCTTATCACTGCCAGGGTTAAGGGTTCGATTCCCACTGGGGCCACCCATGCCAAGAATGGATGCACTCACGGTATTGTAAGATGCCTTGGGAAAAGATGTCCACCAAATGTCCATTACACTTTACACACAGCGTATGTTTCAAGCAGAAACTGCCTTAGATTAGCCTTTTGCCGTGATTTGTGCTTTAAATCAGAACGATGGGAATAATTCAAGACACACAAAACCAAAAACACGCAGAGAGCCCCAAACACAATCTGTTAGCACCTGCTAACAGGCCTGCTCTCGCCAATCCGCTGCAGAGTCACGCAACAAAATGGACGCCTCGCTTGGCGACACCTACGCACAAACACACACACACACACACACATACCAACAGACACACGCGAGCGTAAAGCACATTCTCACTCTCGTTGTGTCCTGTGCTGTCATGTATAATTCAGCGTGCGGCCAGGCCGACAGATGCCTGTGCACCAGGAGGGCCCTTGGAGCCCGGGGAGAGAAGATGAAACATTAAACAGCACAGGACAAAATGGAGACACCCGGACACATACGCATCTAGTGGTAGCTTTCACCGACACACACACAGACACAGGGCAGCCGACATGTGAATATTGGTCACACACACACACACACACACACACATCCACACACACACACCGATTAATGCCAAGGTTAATGCCTAGATTGTTTATTTGTTTACCATTTAGTTTACCATTTATCCAAAGGAACTTACAGTCAGTGACTTCAGATACATGTCATGAAGGAGCCGGTAGGGGTTGGGGGCGTCTTGCTCAAGGATGCCTACAGCCTGCGGACATTGGGGTTCAAACCCAGAACCTTTTGGCTGCAACTGCCTACCCACTGGACTATCCTGCCCCGTATAATACCTGAATACTGGGTTTTACTGAGAAACCGGGAGGATTGTGGTGTATTCTGGTGTACTCTGGGGTGCCTACTGCAAGGTTACCATACGTGGAGGGAGTCAGCAGATTTTAGAGCGTCAAGATTTCCCCCCAGCCTCAGTTCAGTTCAGTAAACTCGTTTACACACACAAACACACATGGATACACACACACACACGGATAGACACACACACACACACACACACACGTATTCACACATGTATTCCCCACACATGCACGTACACGCACACACAGTGGTTTGCGGAGTGCAACTACAAGGTCTAAAAGAATAAGTAGAGAGCAATAACAGTTTGACTGCATCACATCGATGGGCCCTGTGACACAGTAAATATATATATAGAGAGAGTGTGTGTGTGTGTGTTGATTCAAATAAGCTGGAGTGTAAAACTGCTGGAGGACATCGGAACCCACCAAAACCAGGACCCTCATAGACCCAATACCCATCTCTCCTCTCCTTGTCCATTGCTCTCTCTCTCTCTCTCTCTCTCTCTCTCTCTCTCTCTCTCTCTCTCTCTCTCTCTCTCTCTCTCTCTCTCTCTCTCTCTCAGGACCAATGCCAAACTGAAGGGGCAACAAACTGTTGGGCTGCAACTGTTTCCAAGCCCAATAATTACAGCTTGTCAGAAGGAATTAATTTTCTCATTTCTCATGAAGACGTGTAAAAAATTACCATGTTATTATAACCCAGCGTCACTCTCCAGAGGCGGGGACGCCAAAAAACAAATTTAATTTTGGGAAAAATCGTCCCTTCACACATTAAATTAAACACATAAATAAGAGTTTAGGAATGGGGGGAGAGAGCTGCGGGAGGGATGTGGGAGGGTGGGGGGTGTTGGCGAGGAAGCATATGTTCGTTAGGGTGGATGGCACTGCCCCCCCCCACACACACACACCCACCCCCCCTCACGCCTTTGGTGACGGCCGCCGTAATGTTTTGATGGGCCGTGGCTAGCAGCGAGCACGCTACATCTGCATGCTAGCAGGATGCTAATTAGTGGGGCGTACGAGCTGTGGAAGCAGCCTGAGAGAGAGGGAGGGTGAGAGAGACAGAGAAAGTATAAACATACCCACTCACACATGGAGGGTGTGTATTTGGGGACAGATAGGATAAATATCATTGATGGTCCATATTGAAATCAGCGCGTGGATACAAACAAAGTATATGAGATATGAGACAGAAACATTCCAATTTTCAGCTCTTTGAAATACTGATTGTAAAAATGAATGAATACAAATTACTGTATATATATATATATATATATATATACTGAATATAAATGTATCCACTAGGGAGAGCGTCTGTAAGAATCATTTGGTGGACGAAGAGGTCATCCTATCCTGGATGAAAGGCCATAGTAAATGAACAAATTGATACGTTTTCAAATGTACCAAAGTTGGTGTGGACCCAAGACAGTGCCTCTCCTACAAGGCTGTAGAATTAATTTCACTAGAAATTCATCCTGACTTTTGATGCGTCGATCTGTCGAGGCAATTCCCCTGGTACGCACGGCCATACTTACCTCACTGATTGTATTGTGTGTCCTCTAACACTCCTTACTGTGACACAAGAGTTAACAGACCATGTGTGTGATTTAAACACCCCCCCTCTACTCTTGTTGCAAGGACAACAAAACAAACTCACCCAAACTCCCTCTGACTGGACTGGATACAGAACAGACAGTCAGGGACATTCCCTGCCCGAAGGACATGACACACACACACACACACACACTCAGAGGTTGTGGTCAGCAAGACCAATGCCAGCTCTTGTCATCGCCACGGTGATGAGGTCACAATCTGTGATCGTGACACACGCGCGTGCGCAAATACGCACACACACACGCGTCCAGTAGCAGCCAGACTCTGCTAATCGAGTTGGGCAGTAAGTTACTGGTTCATGGTCATTCATACACTAGAATTAGGTAGCGGAGCGGCTCTGACCCCTGCACTGTCCTCTGTGTTCAGCCCCAATTTCATGAAAACAAGTCAATGATCCGACTCAAAATGGCGAGAACAAAAAAGTATGGCCTGACCATATAGAATTTTCAGGTTGTAATTTCCCATGATGCATTGTCATGATCTGACCCCAAATGGCGGGAAAACTCAAAGGATGGTCCAGCTATACAAACATTTTCGTTGAATGCCCGTGATGCTCCTGTTGCTTCTCTAACTCGTTCATAAACTGAACCATGTCTGATCTAATCCCTAAACTTGCCCTCTAATTAACTATTTCCAACGTTGTACATTAACATCCTTAACACAATACCCGAACTTCAAGTATTTCTAGTGCATCATGGGAGTTTTCACCATAAATGTGTTTACTTCCGCCTCCCAAATGGCAGTCAAAAGGACGACAGAGAGTGATGTCACTGATGGAATAGCACTGACCTTACCAGGAAACAGGAAGGACCGTTGTAAAGACGTCTCAATACGATGACCAATCAAATCCGGACAATCTAAACAATGAGAGACAAAATGATTTGGCCATGCAAAATTAATTTCTTAACGTGATGCCCTGCTTCACTTTTGTCATGACAATAAGGCGGGAGCAGCAAGTCAGTATGTTTACATGCAAGGAGAAGCCCGGCCATCAAAACAAGACCATTGGTTTGAATACAAATGTTTGTACATTATACATTATACAACACCAGGATGCCCCTGCATATGCATATGCATACACATACACACAAAGACAAGAAACACGCGGGCCACCTCACTCAGGGTCCACCTCACACAATACGGCATTTCAAGTCAAAAGTCAAAAATGAGGGGACTGGAGAAAACAAAGTAAGAAGAGAGAGAGAGAGAGAGAGAGAGAGAGAGAGAGAGAGAGAGAGAGAGACAGAGAGGGAGAGAGGGAGAGAAGAATAAATGGGGTGAGGTATTGTGGGAGAGATTAAGGAAGAGAGAGGGGAGAGAGAAAGAGTTATGGAGAGAAAGATTGATTTTTAGCAGAACTTTATTGCAACTTGTTTAATTGTACAATTATATTATTCTTTTAGCTAATTAAGTTTGTAACAGATATATATATGATCCTATTCCATGTAAAAAAAATATTTCACCATCAACTAAGGAGAAAAAGCACTAGTGTCAACATCGCAAATATTTTGAAATTCTAGTGAAATACTTGCTTATCCAAATGGCAATTGTAAAGCATGTACAAGTCACTGTAAATACATGTTTATATATAGTACTATATCATGCATGCACGCACGCACGCACACACACACACACACACACACACACAGGGTATATTTCCCATGAAACTACCAACCTCTGTCTGTTTGTCTGTCTACAGCCTTACAAAGTGATTAAAGAGAGCTTTTCCCTGCTATGTGGGTGTGTGCGTGTGTGTGTTGAGTAGGAACACAAAGATGAAAATCATTTTTGTACAAATGCATAAACTAGTCTTTAAAAAAATAAGAATCCCGAAAAAAAAAAGTGTGTGTACATACAGTGTATTTGTGTGTGTGTGTGTGTGTGTGTGTGTGTGTGTGTGTGTGTGTGTGTGTGTGTGTGTGTGTGTGTGTGTGTGTGTGTGTGTGTGTGTGTGTGTGTTTGTATGTGTGTGTGTATGCACTACAGAAGATCACAATATTTTTTTTGTACAACAAGAGGAAGCAAGATATTGCACGATTGGGAGTCTGTTGGCGTTCAATCCTTAGAGGACTGTACCAGAGGCTCGTTCACATGCTAAATACACAGCATGCACACAACCCACAACTCTCGTTAGGAGAGTGAGAGAGCTAGAGCAAGAGCGAGAGAGAGAGAGAGAGAGAGAGAGAGAGAGAGAGAGAGAGAGAGAGAGAGAGAGAGAGAAAGGGGATAGAGTAAGGGGTGAGAGAGAGGGTGAGAGTGAGGGGTGAGAGTTAGGGAGGAGAGAGAGAGACGGAACCAAGGAAGATGAGATGATGGTTCTCTCTCTGGTTCCTCTGTGATGTCAGAACCCCTGCTGATAATAATACCATAACCTTCCTACAGACAGGGTTAAATCCAATCAAATCAAACTTTATATATAGAACACCTTTCTATATATGAAGACAGTTAGATTCTAAAGGAAGCAATTCAATAAATAAAGAAACCACTCCTTAACTTACATAAAAGCTTGGCTAAAAAGGTG